CTATCTATCTATCTATCTACAACACATGTAGGACAGTTGGTGACAGTGTGAGGGCAGATGTCAGTCATGGCAAGCTCTTTTGTGCGTGGAGCAATAGACCACCTTACTGCTGAACTCTATTGTCATTCATTTGGTCCAGTAGGGTTTGTTAATTTTTACTGTGAGCATGCAGTCCCCAATTCATCACTTGGCTACATACACTAGACAGTGGACGCACACAAAAGGGACACATGCACAGACTGGACTGATGCACTGGCGATAAATAGACCTGTACACACACACACAGGCATGCAACTGCCTGCAAAATGTTTACCAAGACACCATTCATGAAGCATTATCTGAATGTTTAACAACTTTACACTCTCTTTTTTACTGCACTGATGGTCACTACAGAAGACACAGCAAAATAAAAATGTGAATATTATAATGGATAAAAAAAGTTTAGTGTATAATTGATTTCATTAAACCTTTGTTTTGTCTTTCATGTAAAATTATTTTATTTTATTGTCACAGCTCTGGCAAAAATCATTAATCCTTTACTCAAAAATATAACTAAGTGTAAAGACCTTTGTAATTGTAATAGATACTAAAATCCTATGTTTGTGGTGTATTAATTCGTTTTGAACCAATTTACTAACTCTAATTGAGATTTTAATGGATGACCGGGCTCAATATAAACAAAAACAAACAATCTTGTTTCCATGCGCTGATTTTTTTATTTGTTAATCATGAAAAAGCAGACGCTCATAGGGAACAAACGAGGACACTTTCGATTGCTTTTGCAGCCTTACATTACAGTAAAAAATATTATCATACATTATAAATTAAGAGAGGGTATAACATTTACTTTATACACAAATAGGCTCAAATCTACAATGATAAAAATAGCTTTGCTTTTTAAGCTTATTCGATGCAAGAAAACCCAACGTAATAATAATAATAATAATAATAATAATAATAATAATAATAATACGTTGTTATTTTTACTATAGAATCACATTGAGTTCACAAAACCATTACAGAATGAAAGCAACAAAACAAAACAAAACAAAACACAGACAACATATTTGAACATATTATAAATAGATTTAGACACATTTTTTTTTGCCGACAATTTAAATTATGATGAGCCTATTTAAATAGACCTATTATAGAACAACATTTTTTTCTCAAGCAGCATTTACATAAAGAAAAACCACGAGATCCTACCTTACAGGCCTGATTAATTATCTCTCATGGCAGTGCCACAATGTTCCTGCGTGGATTTAGTCTTCCTGTGATATTTGTGCCGTCTAAAATCCACAAAATGATTACGCACAATTAGAATGGTTGTCTTTGTCAGGATTTACTCAGTACATATTAGGCCGTGTTGGACTAGTTCCAGGGCCGATATTCTGGGTTTAAAACTGTTAACCCGGTGTATGGGAGGTTTTGTCCGGTGTTTTTCTGTAATTTTGGATTGTCCTTCACTGGAAACACGGAGTCCTTCTGAAATCCACTCCCCGGAGAAGACGGAAGAACTGTGCTGTCCAAGATTTCTGCAGAGCAAGAAAATAGCTTAATAAATAACCAGTTTCCAAGGCAAGCAATGCAACATTTTCCTTTTGCGGCCTACAATATTTATTTTATAATAAGTTAAAGACAAAAGTTGGCTTGTAAATGAAAAGAAACCAACACCAGATTCTAAAAAGTATTAATTTCAACGCTTATGTTGTCATTAAAATACACAATTTTCACATAATAGCCTGATTTGTTACGAATTTACCCTATTATGGGATAAAAATAATAAATGGTATTTTACCTCTATTAATAGCCTACTCGATTGCTTAAATTAAATTTAAATGTGTTTCTTATATCCACCTTATTACAATTATATCCACAGAAATGACAGAAAGAGACCTGAGGCCCTTTTTATGCTAAATTCAAGTGGCACTCCATCATATTTAGATCTTTAACTCTAATATTGTATTCAGAAAAATAAATGCTTACTTTTATGAGTGTTCATGTGGTACTGAAGTTCCTGCTCATCTTGAAAAGCAGCTCCGCAGAGGTTGCAGGGACAGAGCTTGTCCTTGGCGTGGGTCCGCCGGACGTGGCTGTCGTGGGCGGCGTGTGAAGCGAAGGCCTTCCCGCAGTGCTTGCACTTGAAGGGCCGCTCCCCGGAGTGCTGGCGGATGTGTGTGCGCAAAATACTGGAGGCAGTGAAGGCCTGGAGGAGAAGGAAGGAGAAATAAAAACACATTTTTAATTTTCAGCTATGTTAAATGAATCATTTATGATGTATAATGATGGCAGGATAAACATATTTTAGCAGGTGAAGGGTGTTATGGGAGTTTAAAAAATAGATACTGTTTTATATTAGCTAGCTCTTTTAATTAAGTTCATTTGAAGCTATATGTGTCACCTCTAACAGTAGCCAGTTTTAATTTAATGACTTTATGGAACGAATATTGCTAAAAAATAAATACAAAAGAAGGCAAATTGTCCAATATGTTCCATTATTTTCGTTGTTTTTTAAAGGCCATAGCTAATGTTAGCCCTTTTAAAATGACTGTCTGCTTGCTTAAATCGTCCCAGATACGGAGAAAGGGGGCTTCGGTTAAACAAAACCCTCTCTGGGTGCATAAAAACGGGGAGGATATCGAGAGAGAGAGAGAAAGAACAAAACAAAAAACTCCACTTCTGCTCATTCCAAGGGCCGTAAATTAAAAGTATAACCTCGGCAGACAAAAGGGTGGGTGTACATCTGGCGATAATTAGCATGTAAGTGTCTCCGCGGAGCGTGCCCGTCGAGAGAGACAATAATGAGCGGCTCCAGCCAAATGCACCATGAAACGAGGAAGCAGTAAATGGATCCGAATGGGTGCGGGTTTAAAAGAGGTGCAGGAGGAAGAGGAGTAAGGAGGAGTAAAAGAAGGCCTGTACTCATTGAACCAGAAGGGGCAACTCAAATCATTACTATCCTGGAAGATAAAAGCCTTAAATACTTCCATTAGGGGAATGTCTCTTTTTTTCTTGAATAAAAACCATACGGTTACATAATACATTATATAAATCAAATTCAAACATTTAAAGACATTTCAATAGGCTACATAACTCCTTGGCCTACTTCTGATAAATTGTGCTTGAGTGTGACTTTTAAACACAGTGCATTTTACAGGTTGGATCCATGCTATAACTTTGGAGAAGGAGAAACAAAAATAAACCCTTCTCTTACCTTATTGCAGTAGACACACTTGTACGGCCGCTCTCCGGAGTGCACACGCATGTGTTTGTTGAGACTGGACGACTGGGAGAAGCTCTTTCCACACACTGAGCACTGCAGATCAGACACATGTAAGACATCAGTGTGAGTAAAAGCTGTTAAATGTGCCATCACCTCTAAACTCGTGTACAGTTAGATGGGAGAATGTAACATTATATAGAAGTTTCCAACAAAGAAAATGTGTTTTTTAATAACTAATTTAGCTGATATTGTTTAGTTGTGATGCTTTGCCACCAACCAGAGGTCTTACAGTAATTGGCCTTTTTAGGAGGCCTAATTAAAACCTGCTGCACTGGCTTCGAAGTGGCGCTGTAGGGAGCTGTCCTTTCAGCACCACACAAACTTTTGCATGCACATAGATCGACTTTACTGCATGATGTAATGATGTCATGATGTCATGGTCTGCAGTATGGATGCCGTGCACTAAATGCAACAGACATGCACGCCCATGCGCACTGTGTCCGTACCTTGTGAGGCCTGTGTTTTTCGTGAACGTGTAAGATGTGGATCCTTAATCTGTCTCTCTTCTCGAAGGATCTGTTGCAGAGGTGACAGGGGAACTTTCTGTCTCCCTGGTCCACGCAGCGCGTGTACTTCAGGTGCTTGTCTCTGTAGTATTTGTATGCAAACACCTTCCCACATCTGTCACACTTGAAGCCCTCACCAGTATCTGGAGGGGGGAAAAAATCTATGTTAAGTATGATAAAACTAAGCAGAAAGTTAAAGCAAACCAGCAGAAGGTTAGATCCTGACCTTCAGTGGGAGGGGGCACGTTGCTGTCCTCTCTGGGGTCTTTCAGGGTGAGAGGGATGCCGAGGAACTGCATGTAGCAGTCTCCGTACCACACCAGCAGCTCCTGCCCAGGTCGGATCTCTTTACAGGCCTCATAGAAGATCTGACCCTGGATCTGCACAGCGATCAGGTTCTGCTCGTCTGGGAATCGAGCACACTTCACCAAAGACATCCAGTTCCCTGAGCCTCCCCTGCCGTCCACAAAATGACTTAACCGGCCGTTTTCAAACACCTGAATGAGAGAAAAGAGTGTTTTTTTGTTTGCTTTAGATAAAGGAGCTTAAACAATCAGAGGAATTTCTTTATATGCTAGACAGGTCTTTGGATCAGGACTTACCTCCCACATCAGCGTGTTGTCGTCGTATGTTTTAATCTCGCTGGTATTGACCAGTTTTCCTTGGAAGGGTCCGAAGCGTGTGCCTTTAGGGATGCTGCTTTTGTCTGTGAACACTCCACGGTGTGAGACGTTTCCCCAGGCTGTCTGCAGGATGGTTAACCCTGCAACAGTGCCAAAAACAGTGTCAGATCTCTGCCGTGCCATCACGAGTTCAGAATAAAAACGGAATGAAAGTGTTTTATGAACAGAAAGTTTGGGAAGTCTTACCCTCTGGAAGTTCAAGTGTTTCTTTGTCCAGAGGGAGAATGTGAGAGTCAGACACTGGAGAGGAAAAGCAGAAATGAGCAACTTAAGCACATTTCTGGGTGAATTCAAGTATAATAACACTAATAATAATGGTAATTGGGCTTTTTGGTGTGATAAGCAATATTAGACTATTAGACCTATAATCAACAGACAGATCCACATGTTTGTCTTTTTTTTTTTTTTTACATTTGCTTGCAGGATACTAGTAAAACCAAGGCCAATATGCCGTTTTATCTTTTCATATAAAACTAAATGAAAGTCCAATAACTTAAGCAGAAGTCTCACCTGTCTTTTCGGGCAGGATCAGTCCTGAGATAGCGTGGCTTCGCTCCTGGCTGCCAGAGTAACCGTACAGCACCATGAACAAGTCGTCCTCGCTAAAATTATAAGGGGTGAGCGTTTTTTCCGGCGACAGCTCCGCGCTCCGTAGGCGAAACAAACTCTCCTTGGGCGGCGAGGTGGCAGAGGAAGAGACAGAGGAGGACCGGTCACTGGACGGGCTGCTGAAGTCCGAGGACAGGGGACCAGCGGCGTGCTCCGTCACCACAGCTGCCAGCTCCTCTGGTTTGGAGTAGAGCGGGTGTCCGGGCAACATCTGGCTCAGGTAAGGGAAGCCGGAGGCGTTCAACATGTGTTCGTGCAGGAGCGAGGCGTGGTGGCCGCCCTGGCCGAGGTACGGAGGGGCTCCGCCGGGCATGCTGATCTGCAGGGACGCCTGAGTGTCCGACACCAGACGGCCGAGGGACTTGAGCGGGTGGAGGAGGTTGTGAGTCCGCGGGAAGAAGTCCATGTAGTGATGGGGGCCGGGGAGAGGGGCAGGGTAGAAGCCCCGTGCGGGACTGCCTTTCAGCATGCCGGCTTGGAAGCACTTGTCCTTCAGCACTACAGGGATGCTGGACAGGGACACCGACATGGTGAAGCAAAGGTTCAAATGGAGAGTGGATCCTTCAGTGGATGAGGGAGAGAAGAAGAAGGGGGGGTGGGAGAGGAAGTGGGGGTGAGTTATAAAAGTTTAATGCAAAAAATCTAAAAAAGGAAACATGACATCAAGAGAGGTTGACTACACCACCCTTTTAAGCCCTTACTTAAGTAATTCAACAACAACAATCAGCTAAAATAATGCTGTATGTAGTACATTTCATTAAATGTCATGATCCTGAGAGGAAATTATGGTATAAAAAGAACAATAGGCTTCAAATTAATTATTAAGAACCAAAAACACACTTTTTCCAATTAGTACATTTAACAATATTATGATTAACCAACAACTTATAACTCATATCCAGAATTTCCCTTTAAAAACCTCACCTATGGACTAGTGCATATGAAAACATTGGGCAAATATTGAACGGATCTATTGCATTATAAGTAAAAGCTATCCACAGTGAAATTGGACAGCCGATTTTGCAATATTTCCAGCTGAGAGGACACACACCAGACACACACCCGATGTTCATCAGTGGCTTTAAATGGCCCACTGGAACACGGTGCGTTGTTTTTGGGGCACCGTTCACCAATCAGCCAGTAAATAGAGAGACAAATCAGGGTCATGACACTAATTAAAGAAGAGTCGGCCAGAGCAGAGGTCAACATTAATGAAGCATTTTATAGACTTTGCAATTACGGTACAGTCACTGCAAAAAAACCCAACTCATCAGCAGCAGAATTATTGGAGCAATATAGGGAAATTATATAATCAAGAAAAATACAACTTCCTAAATAAACAGGAATACACTATAAATAAACTATCTTAATCCTCTAGTATTTTTATTTAAAGAACAAGGCCTCTAACATAAATTAGGAGTCGCAGTGAATTCACTCTGTAATTTTCTCTACAGAAACATGCAGCAGTTTGGCTGTTGCAGTGATCTTTCATCCATTTTGAGAAGAAGCTTACCTTGTTCAATAAATGAAAGATGTTTCACAGTGAAGTTGTCTCTGTCATGTCCGCAGGCTTTCAGTTTCAGCAACCTCCCGTACAAATCTCCAAATTGTGCAGGGGTTAAGCAGCGGGTCTTAGAACTTGAGAGTGCGTGTGTGTGTGCTGCAGGAGCCTTTCTGTCTTTCTGTTGGTCTGTGGTCATCTGAGGGCACCTATACTGTACAGCCAGGTCTGCTGGAGATGCTTCCCAGCACCTTCTTCCTATTGGCCAGGAATCAGCTCAGCCTCATGCATCTCAATGCCCCCACAGGAATACATTTTCTCAGGGACAGCCCACCCCTTTAACTTCTCCACAACAGTCTGCTTTCTCTGCCACACAATGAGGCTGATTGAGAGAGGTTCCCAAACATTTCCATACGGGGACCCCCACCCCAACACACACACTCGGTACGATTTTATCTGAGGGACCCCCTGTGGAGTATAGACATGTGTTGTTATGACTTGGATGTGGTGAATTAGGAAGAGAGAAAAGAATGGTCGAAATAGGCTTTTATAGGATACATCTTTCTCTGTCCACCGAGAAAATGAATAAAACTGAAACGAATCCGAATCAGTTATTTGGTATAGTTTAGACGGCATACTATAGAGATCTGGGGATTCTGGATCATATTTGTGCTTTTCTGTTGAATATATATTCTTACTGACTTCTTGTGAGCATTGTGTAGACTCATCTAGGGACAGACATTGCAAACTATAGGCAAAATGCTGTATGTATCGTTGTTCTATGCAGCCCATTTGTCCCCATAAACATCAAATAACTAAACAAATATGTCTACACATTAACTCACGTATTTATAATATTTATTATAGGCTATTCGCATTAAATTACAGTGAATATTAGCATGCACACAAAAACGAAAACTCAATACATTTCTGGAGAAAGTTTTGTTTTTAATTTCTCATGCAAATATTGTCATCTTAAAATACAACATGTTACAGTTAAATTGCATTTACTTTAATGTTCATATCGCAGTTTATTTGTATTCCTCGTTGAATTAAAATTTTCGATTAAATTAAATTCGATTAAAAGCCGGTTTTTCTCACCGTTTCAGTCTGCAAAGTTATATTAGTTCCTTGTGCATTTTTTTTATATATTGGAAAGCTCAATGACAAGTTAATTCATTTAATTCTTTTTTTAAAAGCAAAAAATCACCTCTTACCACTTCCAATCCCACGAAATAAGAGTCACTCGATTAAATACTGCAATAACAGAATTCTTTATTTACAAGGCAAATAGCATCAGCGAAGCCATATTAGTTCACAACTTGCATAACTGTGGTTTTAACTTCTCTTGTATATCTAATTTTGCATAAAACGCTCACACACGGATACAAAGATGGATGCGGGTATACAGTGTGATTGTGAACAATGCAGAAAAAAAAATATCTCGGGAAAACACAACAGTAAGCTTTCTTGAGAAAGTCCATATAGTATATTACATATTGCTTCAATATCCCTATGTATCATCTTTTCCATACAAACAGTGAGGGAGGGGGAGGGAGGGGGGAGGAAATGAAATAACAGAGTCTTCAACCCAACACAGAACAGAGAGCAATGAGGAGAGACGGTTCAACTGCGGCCGAGTCTCCAGCAACTGCACAGAGTCGAACAATGATGCACCCATTCAATATTGTACACAAGTCATTATACAAATTTATACAGACAGCGGTGTAATGTACAAGAACGAGAACGGACGAAATCTAAGGCATTATGCTAGGGTTTTTAGCATTTCAAGGTTGCATCTTAGCTCTAAGAAATTGGCAGACAATACAAAAGGGCATTTAAAGTTCTTCAAAACCATAAGTTAAAGAGAAAAAATATTTTCGTTTAGTGGGTCCAAAGCCTGGATATTTGTAAGGGGCAAAGTTCATTTATTTGCACCTGTCCTCATTATAAATGCTAAAAAAATGCATTGCTACCACATGGCTTTAAATCTTTTCAAAATCTTGACAATCTTTGGAAATTTGCAAAGGGCTGTGAATCATTCTTTAAAATGGCTCAAAAAGGCTTGTTCTGCACGACTGTATGATACAATCAAAACAGCATTTATCAAAAAAGTGTGATTTTCTCCTGTAGGCCTGCAGCAAAACAACTGCAGGACATCTGCAATGATGACAACCAAAACAGTAACGCAGACTTCCTTTGTCCCAAAGTTGACTTGCTACAGCTTCAATTTCATGTAGAACTTAATTTAAAAGAAAAAAGAAAAGAAAGAAGCAACAATGGGCAAACTTCCTACCTAAATGCAGAGAAGAGCACGGTGCAACTGTACAACATCACGTTGTCAACATGTTGACAATACACACCATCAGTCACATCCTTAGGCCTTATATGACAATACATTCAGAATGATTCTCTTCCTGTTTTATGCTGCAACATCTACATTAGACCCTGTTAAGTGACATCATAAATTTCTTGTTTTCTGTGGGCCTCAAAGCATGCTAACCAACAGGTCGTCTCTCACTATGAAAACAAAAGCTGGTAGAATTCAGAAATCCAATTGAAAGGTGAGGGTTATTTGGCTTGCTCCAAGTCTGTCCTGGGTTAAAATAGTTGATATAAAAAGGTTTGTTTTTTTTGTTGAGGAAAATGTACTTTTGAGGTTAGAGAAGATGACTTGCTTTAGATCTTGTGAAGGTCAAACCAAACCCCTACTGGGGCACAAGAATAGCATGTCATTACTGAACACTTTAAAGTTGAACTAACTGCCTGAGGTCATAAAATATGGCTAAGTGTCTGTCAGAGCAGGTCTCATGAACCGTGCAGTCTTAACTCTGACCTCTGCTATAGAAGAAGGCTAGAGGCAGAGAGGGTGTGTGTCAACAAGGGGATCACAAAGTACTTCCCTCTCCAGTCCTCAGCCAATGCTGCATAATCTAACAGGAACGCTGTGTGTGGATGTAGACTTTCTTGGTACAAACTGCAATAAAAAAACTGTGTTTAATACTGCATCCAAACGTGGAGCAAAAATGTGTCCTTTTTATTCAGGAAACTGTACAAAAATTACAAAAACAAAAACACAAAAAAACCCCAAGAGTTTCTCAAGTAATCGTTATTGCTTGTTTACATCACACCAGAACAGTTTGCACCTAGCAGCTTGTATGAAGCATTTTTCACTCCAGACAACATAGAAAGCACACTTCTGTTATTTTTTTTTGAGTTATTGTATGGCTGTGTTGAAGTTGACAGGTTTTTTTTTTTTCTCCTTTTTTGTGGTGTTCTATGCTAAAGGCAGAGAAGCAAGCGATAATCTGTACACTGTATACACAGCACACCCCCTTACAACCCTTCCCCACCTCCCACCCACACCCCCTGTCTGCATCGTACCAGAACATCAGAACGTGAAGGCTCCCACTCCACTTCCCAAAAAAAAACAAAAAACAAAAAAACAAAAAAACAAAACCCCAAACTTGCTCTGCTTCAAAAGGGAGTTGTGACCAGACGGGGAACCAAACCCAAAGGAATAAAATAAATAGGAAAGAAAATGTTTTACTTATTGTTATGTACAATCTCTGTAATTCATTTTTAAACCATATATGATTTTGACATCTTCTTCTGAAACTACAGGACCAAAACATAATCCATTATTCAGGTTAATAGAAGAATCTTCTCAGAAAGAATACAACCATTACTGTTAAAATTATAAAAAAAGTGCCTCTTTCACACTTTTAGAAATATTTTTTCTTGTTGCTACTAGGATAAAGAATCATCTACAATAATTAAAATGAATCTATACAGAAAAATAAAACTTAATTTAATACACTATATAAACCTCTTGACTAAATTAGTCTAATCATACAAATCACCATTCCACTCAAACCATTCTTCTGCAGTGTTTTTCAAGATCAGTTTTTTCAACCATATCTTCATTCTACATCTTAATTCTCACAACAAGAAAAAAAAAACAAAAAAAAAACAAACAAAAAACAACTAAAATAATAATAAAATAAAGAACAGCAAAAAGGCAAAAC